CCTGGTTCACAATCGGTTTGACACATCTTTAATTTTGATTTGGTTTGGTTTTTCAAATTCCTCATTTCCTTAAGCCCAATGTATGTGAGTGTTTTACTAGAGAGTTGGATTGATGCGTTGTTTTAGTGTTAGTGTTTGTACCTTATTGGAAATGTATGCATTTTTCTTGCAGGAAGAAACAAACTCTACAAGACAAAACTCCCTTGCTGATTGCGTAAGTTTAATTCAACTTTGTCTAATTGTACCTTTCGTTCTCTCCTCGATGCAGAATAAATTGAAGCCTGGCCAAGTATCAAAATTCTGAGATCTTGTTTTCTCTAGAGAAAACTTGAATTGAGAAAGTAGGTTTCGTTGAAGAAAAGAATCAGGGCTAGAAGAAACTAAGTTTGATGATCAAGTTCTCTCTCTAATACTCATCTCTCTGAGTGTTTGTTAACTTGTAATTACGCAGATTATCTAGTGATATGAACTACAAGTCAGGCTCTTCCCATCCGGTCACGTAATTTGATATTCCTGTATATATCTGTGCCAAGAAGAAACCCTCGAAAGAGACAGAACAAAACTACCTCGCTGACCCTGTAAGGTAAGCATATTCTCTCTTTTACCAAGTATTTATACATTTGGTTTCTCTTCTTTCTGTACCAGCAATTCGTTCGCCTTTTATAATTGGTAAGGAAAGCATTGAGAAAGTTCCTGTTTTTGTTTGTTTGTTTGTTTTAGAGAATCTTTGGCATTGTAGAAGTAACAACGTGTGTGTCTTTCTCTTTATACACGTCCCTAAAGGTGTATCCTTTATCCATTCATCCTTAAGTCTTTCATCTTGTAGACCCTGCTCGATTTGTTTGAGTTTGAGTCTTTCATCTTGTCTCACATCAATGGCGAAGTCTGAGAATAAGAAGTTTGTTTGGTTGATAAAGAATTTCTCCTCCATAAAATCTGTCTCGTGTGGTTCTGTTCCAGTTGTGATTGGTGACTACAAATGGTATAAAGAGGACCTCGGTTGTTTCATAACAGTCGATATATATTTGGGTGGTACCGTCCCATGGTTTGATGATTCTTTTTACTTTCGGTTTTCTTGCAGGCGTCTTATCGCATATCCCAAGGGAGATAATAAAGCCGATCATTTTTCTTTGTATTTAGAAGTTGCTGATCATCAATCGTTGCCTCCTGGATGGAGAAGATACGCCAAATTTCGGTTTAGTATTGTAAATAAAGTTTCACAAGAGCTCTCTGTACAACTAGGTGATTCTTTACTTCAATCTCTCCTCACTAGTTGATTCGTTTTGGTGAATGGTCCTTGTCCAGTGTCAGTATCATATGAACAGTTGCAATGCTAGATATTCCAATTCCATTATTATGCTGCGGAATGTTTTGAAAAGTTCTTGTCTTGACTTGAATTCTGTGTTGCTAAAGGGTGTTCGTTTGTGTGTGGGTGAGTGGTTTAGATTCAAGAAAAGAGTACTGGTTTGATCAGAATAAAGTCAGATGGGGCTATCAAGGAATGATTCCCCTTACCAAACTTCATGCCAAAGATGGTGGATTCCTGGTGAAGGATGAACTACTGATTGTTGCTGAAGTAGATGCTCTTGAAGTTGTTGACACATTAGATGAGTCTAAGGAGGCGTCCGAATCTCTTAAAAAGATAAAGCAAGGTGCGGAATCTGAAGATTTACTTAAGAAAACTCCGTCGGAAAAGGAAAGCATGGATGTCAATGGGTTTCAAGTTCTTCCTTCACAGGTAAGAAACTTACGAAACTCCTTGTTACTCAACATGTCTTCATCTGTTTCCTAAAATATCCAGAGAATGCTCTCTCATATGCTTTGTTGTACTCGCAGGTAGAATCTGTGAGACGTATATTTAAAGAACACCCAGACATTGCAGTAGAATTCCGTGGAAAGAACCAACGTCTGAGGACAACATGCATGAACTTCTTGCTCAGTTTTATGGAGACGCTGCGCCAACCAATTCAGGAGCTCTCCTATGAAGATCTGGAGGAAGCTGACATTGCGCTGGCATACTTGAAAAATGCGAGCTTTAAGGTGGATTGGTTGGAGACAGAGCTGGACCAAGTCAAAGAAAAGAAGGAGACAGAACGAGCTCAGGCTCTTGTAAAGACTTGAAGCCGAAGTTCTCTGTCCTCGAACAATACTCAATAAATTATTATATATGTAATATGAAAAACTGTGTGACAATAAAAACAGAGTATCATCCCCTGTAAATAAATAATCGGACATGTACGATTTTAACCATACCCCTGGTGAATCGTCATGTTTTGGGGAAACTAATGATGAATAATACTATGTATGTACTATAAACTTTCATGCACGAATAATAGTTACTCTTAAGCTTTCAAATTTTCCTTTATACTCGTAGATTTGAAATCCTAACTACCTGATGGAATCCAAACTATCACTGGCATCGTGTGTACGGCATGAAAATTGAAACCACTTCTTTGGATAAATTCTTGAGCTTGTGTGGAATTGTATTTCTATGTTGGTCAAGTGAGTGTTGTGTTTGTTTTGAGGGAGGTTTTTTGGATGAGTCTTGAAATTTTCTTCATGTTCATGCAGTGTTCTATTCGATAGTACTAAACTACTTGGATGAAATGTTACAG